TATTCTACAAAGATATTCTTCGAAGAAATATTAAAAAGTGACGGTGTAAAAAAGCCCTCAGTGTCAACCCGATTGTAATTGCTTCATAAATTCGGTTTATAGCTAGATAAAATATGGCAGGATGCGCAAGGGGCACGTAAATATTGTTTTTTTTTAAAAATATTTTACTTGCTGATTTTTCAGTTATTAAATGTCCCAAAATGGTAGCATACGCTATTCGGCTGGTTCCCAGTTCCTGGAAATATTTCTTTGATGATATATTCGATTTCGTTTTTTCCATTTTTGTACTTTAGAACTAGAAAAAAAAATTAAATATTATTCAGGACATATGCAAATTATGGTGATGTCCTCTAGTGATCTGAATAGATTTGGCCTTTTCATATGAAGAAATGCTCTTTTTTTCCCGCCTGTTGTGAATCTATTTTCATACAAGTTTCATTATATTTTGAGGGAAATATTTCATGCAAAAATTCCCCAGTTCATGTCAGATTTCTCGGCTCTCTCGCATCAGCCGCGCGAGTGTCTGCTTCACTCTATCCGCAGCCTTTTTTTCTGTCTCGCGCCAGTGAAGGAGCTCAAACTCCCGCCAACGCGATTTAAAAAAAAAAAAAACCGTTAGAAGTTTACAGGTCCATCGTTTTAGGCGATTAAGAATATCATATAGGCTATTGTTTCTAAAAAAAATTAAGAAAAGAAAGCAATGGAAAAGACTAAAACAATCATCTTAAAAGAATAGAGGCCAGAGGTATGGTATCTTTTTTTTTTTTTTAAACATTTGAACCGTTTTTTTGTCGTTATTGTCCCTGAATTTGTTTCGTTACCTTACGTTTCAGTGTTACGTAAAATAAAAAAGGTTACTTTCGAGTAACAATTAAGACTGTGTTGTTCAGTGAGGGTGGGTCAAACATTTCTTGGCATTGGCTAGAATAAAGGGCAACCATACAAACTAAAATCTTTAAAAATGTCAGATATTACTGTAGCTAACGTTAGACATTTAATGAGCCCCCACAAAAAAACAAACAAAAAAAGACCAGAGTGGAAATTTGATCGAATTGATCGATGTTAGGCTATAGGACACTTAACTTGGGTGGGATTTGCGTATCGTGTGGTGTAATATTAATATATAGAGTAACAGGACATTTCAGCACGGATTCTGGATATAGTCTGAATGTGTGCGCTGCCGAATTTTCTTTTCACAATCTCAGCCTTTCTCTCTCTTTTTCTGGAAGAAGTAGGCCTTGCTATAGCTACAGACAAAACACACAAGCAGTACGCAGCAGAGTGAGACAGCCTTTCGCAGAAATCTCGCCTTTTTTGTCTCTCTCTCTTTCTCAAACTTTTTTTTTAACTTCCTCTAGCCTCTCCTTTCTCTTGCGTAAAACAAAGGTCGCTGGCTGTTTAGAGAGGAGAGTGTCATACAACGATAAGATAGGCTGTGGTATAAAAGAGTTTCAATAAGGGCATTCGGCAGTGAAATAATCCAGCAAGCTTGCTGGGGAACATGCGCAAACGCTGTTTTATAGGCCGTTTATGCTTGCATACTAATTTATTCTCATGACAGCAACACAAAGTTCATGCTGTCATAAAGTTTGCTTCATCCAAAATCATGTCAGATTTGCTGCAATCATTCAACCAATAATTCAAGCAAGAACAATGAATTTGTTACTGACACTTTCCCCCCCTCAGGTCAGACACTTTCTTTGTTTGCAGACATTGAAATTGCTTCATGTAAATAAATGTATCAGACACAAAATCCATGTAGTCTTGTCAAACCAAATTAGAACTGTAGCAACATAGGCAAAAACGAAATACCAAGACACCTTGATCTGTACAAAGGCAACTGATATGAATTGTGAAGAACTTTCCTTTCATTTGGATTGGAATTATGCAAAGTGAATTGCAAGCCAATGGAACATTTAAAAACAAAATGACACACCAACCTGACGGTCGGCTTTGTTTGTTAGGAAACGCTGCATTTACATAGCAGGCGCCTACTGGCAACAGCATAGTCTGCAGTGAGTTGCTTTGAAAATGAGGCTGCTTCACCCGGTGGTCTCAGATGGGCCTGCTGGTCGCCCTAAGGTGTCGCGTAGCCCTGAGAGAGTGGCATATGTTGCGTAAACTCATTGTAGGGATTAAACCAGATTAAATCACTTGATACAAATCTGCTCAAGCTAGCGATTCCCTGGCTCTGTCTATGGATCATAACAGATCATTGCGAACAGGGATTGACTGCATTCCTTTAATACGTTGTACATATAGTTTGGAGCAGGATTTAATCATTGAATGTTTTGTGTGCTACGGCTCAGGGCCATTGTGAGAGAGTTTCAGGCCAGACTGTGTTGTCATTACATCTAGTGTTCGTTGATAATGTAGCCTACATGTGCCTTTGCAAACTAAAACTTTTGGCTTTTCAGTGATGTGTTGACTTGTTATTGCAAATCTTGCTGATTTATATATATGAACATGGTAGCTGGCTAACTTATGTGAGGACTTTGAAATTGCGAGACTGATTTGCGCTAGTCTTGGATGCATCAGTTAGAATGGGTTCAAAAGAATAAATCACAGTATGTCACTGTTTTCCTGTAAAAGGGTGTTTATAAAATTAAATCCATCATGTTTCATTATTAATTTCATTATAGCATTTTAATTCTATTGTTGCAAATTAATCTATTATTTTTATTATTATAATTTTTGTAAAGAATACTTAATATTTTATAAAAAAAATGTTTTGACTTTTTTGAGGTTGGGCTATTATTTGGCAAAAACATTTTGGTTACTTACTGTTGAAAATACTGGCAAGACAAGTAAAAATTAATAGTTGTAAGTTAGTTGTTGAATCCTGCTATAGAGTTGCAGTTTTGTAAAAAGCATTATAAGGAGAATAGGGATTTTAGTTTGTTTTTTAAAGGAAACAACTATTAATACACTTTCTTATAGAAGCATTTTAATGTGAAATACTTTTTTGTTGTTCTTAAAAAAAAAAAAACTAACAAATGTTTTTAATGTGGCCAACCGTTCATATCTGACGTGGTCACATTCTCAGATAGAGTTCAGAGAGAGAATGTTGTTCTGCTGTGGACCATGTCTCTGTCTTTGCTCTTTGTTTGTGTGCCGAATCTAAAGGCAGCTGCTGGTCTGTAGCGTCTGCTGGGAGTTCTGGCCCGCGTGTTCACACGCCGCTCAATGGAGGGAGGGGACGGGGCAAACGGGGACACTGCTGTGTGCTCGCGCGATGGAAGTGATGGCAAGTGTATTGGTGAAAATGGCAAAAGTGCGTGTGTGCATCTGAGCTCGGTTCTTGAAGACAAGAGGAGGAAAATGGAGGTAAATTGGGGTGGGAATGGACTACGGGCAGCGCCGCTGATTGGCGCATGTAAAATTAATGTGCTCTGGACTTTGCAGTTGCACAAGATAGGAACTTGTTAATTTGGCAAAGTAAGGAGCCAACCTACTGACCGAACCCTACACTATCTCCCCCAGCGCTCTCTCGCTCCATCTCTTTCACCCTCCCTCCCATTCAGCCCTTCAAGCGTGCGTATTGGCTGAGCGATCGGGCACCCGGTGCCAAATAGGTGGGCTCAGCTTCGCGCTGGCACACTCTGAGGCAATGGCTAGGAAAAGAGCATGGAGAGGAAGAGAGAGATAGAGTTGGAGAGGAAAAAGGGGAAAAAAGGAAGCTTCTATCGGGTTTGCCAGCGGTCGTACGCGCTCTTCCAACATTGATTTGGTTCTCTCGTTTTTTTTTGCGCTCACCATTCACTCCTCTCTACCCCCTCTCTGTCTCTCTCTCTTTCTCTCTGTCTATCTCCCATTCTCTGTCTATCTATCGCTCTCTGTGAGTCGAATGCAGAGCACGCATATCTGAACAAACACCACTTACTGCTTTGCCAAACGTTTTTTTCCTCTTTGTTGCGGTATTTGTGTATTTGTGTACGTTTTTTTCTCTAACAGTGAGTACAATACTTTTTGATTACGAGCGATTTCATTGTCCGCTTTCTTGTGTTCATATGTAATATTTAATTTTTGGTTTTAGTGGCTGGCAAAATCCCCCCCCCTTTTTTTTTGCTAACTTTTTTTCCCCTCTCATTTCCCCCTGTCTGTTTTGTGTATTAAATATTCCTCTCGTGCATTTCTTGTTTTTGTACCTCCAGAGCTGTCACTGTTTGGCTTCCTCCAAGATTTTCTGAATTTTTTTTTCGTCTTCGACTGGACATTTTGACAATTTTAACTTGTTCTTTTTTTTTTCTTCTTCAGTTTTTTTACCTTTTGCAACAACATAAAAAAAAACCTCTGATATTGTGCTCTAATAATTGGGGCATGTAGTGTCGAGTTAAGTGCGGAGAAGACATTTCACTTGTTTTTCCACTCCATTTCGGCCAGCAGGGTTTATGATGAAAGTGCAGAATGGTAACTACAGACATTTTTAGTTGTTTTGCTGCATGGCTTGTGCGTTTTGTCTGTGGCGTGCTGCTTCTGTGTCTGTGCCATGTGGCGATATAGTTTGGATCAGGATGTGCGGTAGCAGGGGTTGGTTGTGCGGTTTGGCACAAGCGACAGTGAGCAGCTGTTGTGGACTCTTTACGTCTGTCCCTCAAAAACATCATTGTTTTGAACTGAGAAAGGATCTTTTGAAATGCAAAAATGTCTTTGTAAAAGAATGCAGAAGAAAAAAGTGAGGTTACTTATAATTTAGTATGTTTTAGTTTTTTTTCTTAATAGCATGTCGGTAGTTTTATTATATATTTTGGATAGGAATTCTTGTTCTAAATTCTAAATTAGCATAACATTGTCTGTATTTATGCGATGCTTATGACGAATGTTTGTGTGTGTGTGTTTGTGTGTGTTTGTCATCCTGGCAAACAAGCACTCACATGTTTCCCGTACCTTCCTTCACAAAGCGCCGCCGAATAATGCTCTGAGATTATAACGTCTTCTCCCCTTCCCTCCTCTCCTCTCCCCTGCTTCCCGTCTCTCCCTCCATCTCTCCATCCCTCCAGGATGAATTCCATCCCTTCATCGAGGCTCTTCTCCCACACGTGCGGGCGTTCTCCTACACCTGGTTCAACCTGCAGGCCCGCAAGCGCAAGTACTTCAAAAAGCACGAGAAGCGCATGTCCAAGGATGAGGAGCGCGCCGTCAAAGATGAACTCCTGGGCGAGAAGCCCGAGATCAAGCAGAAGTGGGCGTCGCGACTGCTGGCCAAATTGCGCAAGGACATCCGGCCGGAGTTCCGTGAAGACTTCGTGCTCACCATCACAGGGAAGAAGCCGCCTTGCTGCGTGCTGTCCAACCCCGACCAGAAAGGCAAGGTCCGCCGCATCGACTGCCTGCGGCAGGCCGACAAGGTCTGGCGCCTAGACCTGGTGATGGTGATCCTGTTCAAGGGGAGCCCACTGGAGAGCACGGACGGAGAGAGACTGATCAAGTCCCCGCAGTGCTCGAACCACACCCTGTGCGTGCAGCCGCACCACATCGGAGTGTCCGTCAAGGAGCTGGACCTGTACTTGGCCTACTTCATCCACATGCCAGGTCAGTGGGTTACGCTCTCTTTCTCTGGCCTTACGGCTACTGATACTTGAATGTGTTTATTTAAGAGGGGTCAGAATTCAGGGTAAGATGACACCCACATAATCACCATCACATCCAGCACACTTATAAACACTTGCTTTGAGTGTCTGTGTTCTGCAGCCAGAGACGAAATTACACTTCAAACAGGGTTCCCACGGTCATGGAAAAATCTAGGAATTTTAAAGTTGTGATTTGTAGGCATGAAAAAAATTACAGTAATTTTAAAAAGCATGCAAATTCAGCATTCAGATCTCAGGGTGATTTTGTGCTTTGTGGAAACGTTTGTACACTAATAAGAGCTATTTTTAAAGTAGTGATTTATAGGCACAAAAAAAGTCTTAAAAATTTAGAGAAATTCATGTAAATGTATGTATTTAATTTATAATCTCTCTGGTTATGCTCTTTATAGAATAAATCATGTCCAGCTGCATTCAAATCCGAATTATTTTGTGCCTTATGGAGACATTTGTACACTAAAACATTGTTTAAATCTATTAATTCTACAGATTAATACCTGCCATGTAAACATAAATCCTTCCAAGAAATTAAAAAATACAAATTAAATGGAAACCCTGCTGAAATGTGAATAACTCATATTTGTGCCATTTTTATACTTTTTGTGATGTTTTATTGTTTATAATAGGATGCTTTGTTTTGTTGTGTGACTGTTTAATATAAATAGTATGTTGGTTGTATTCACAAGAAAACACAATACGGGTGGCCTTTTCAATTCTTCAGTGCCATCTTGTTTTCTCATTGGCAGTGTGTTTTAGAGTCGTATCCTTTTGGAGTGAGTGTGTGTGTATTCATGGATAAGTTACTAGGACGGTCTCATACGCTCACTGCCAAACACTTTTTCTGACACGGCTAACACTCTCTCTGATGCACACAAGATCTGACTGGCCAAACACACTCAGGCCAACTGATCCATAATCCTGTGATTACAAATCTGAAATTGCTTTCTTGCTTTCTTTGTGTTTTGCTGTTGTTGCTAATTCATTTTCATTTTATAGTACTGCAAACAAACCACAATTATGGAAAAAAAAGTGCATATTTGTCCCATTTTTTTCATGGTATAATAGTTCAAACCATTCATTAAAAGAGCCGTTAACAAACTATAAGCAGCTGAATTTTAAACCAGCTTAACAGTTTCATGTCTGTCTTTCAGTGTCTTGGTCAGCGCACGCACTGGTTCACTGTGTCCCCAGCAGGGTTGGCCATTGCGCTGCCCGCTCAAAATGTTTGCTGCTGTACTGCGGTCTTATCTTATCAGGCTAATTCCAGTGTGCACTGCTGCTTTTATCAGGCTCCAAATAGCCTCGCCGGAGACTGGCACCCTGCAGGGCAGCTGCGCACAATACCCAGGCCCTTGGCATCCTGTGCCAGAGCTCAGGGGGCCTTTCTCAACCCAGACGCACCCAGTCCCCATGTGCTGCTCTGGTTGAGGGCATTCAGTATTTTTTTTAGCTGTTATTTTATTCTTGATTTCAGTTGTGCATTCCTAACTAACACCACAATTATCCTAATTTGAAATAGACTGACAGTTCAAATCAGGTATTTGTTGTGTGTGCCAAAAAATATCTCTGCATTCTTTGTCATAAATGCAATGGCTCAGCTGTTTATTTCATTTATTGCTTTGCCTTGTGTTTATTTTGTCCTTGTGATTGTTTATTCACACAAACTCTGTTTATCACTATTAAATGTGGCCTTCGTTGTCACACTCTCAAATCGAATATTCCTCTTTTGTGTCCATAAGAAAGCAAGAGAGAACAAGAAAAAGGACGGCTATGGGAGTCGCTACAGTAATTGCTCTAGTTGGCACTATTGCAACGCCATTGGTGCGGGAAGATGTGTGTGTGTGTGTGTGTGTGTGTATATGAGCTCAGGGCACTCATTTTCAGCTCTCTTTCTTGCCGTTTTAAAACACAGAAAAGTAACTGTTCACTTAAAAAAAAAACAGTGTACTTCACTAACCTAAACCAATTTTTCTTGTTAGTGCAGTAATAGGTAGCTGGAGAGTTTGGCTTTTTTCTTATTAAATGCTTTCCATTTTAAATGCATAAAAAATGGATCGCCAGAGTTTGGATTCAGAGCCTGAATCTTAAACCACTATCCTGTGCTTAACAGGGTTTTTGGGATTTGACTCGAAAGTGTTCCATATTTTGCTAAATTTAGACGTATTTTTCAATCTTAAAATGAAATGTGAAATTAATCGTTTCTTTATACAAGACTCTAAGTAGTAATCCAGGTGTATTGAAGGTAAATGCGTGTTAAATGTGTTTCCATTAAGAATGGTGATTATGGGGAAAGTCGTCCTAATAGAGGGATGTGGCTTTTGGGTAAAGAGAATATCAATTTTATATCCAGGGCTGTATTGTTAGTGCTGCTATTATATCATTATTATGAGAACATAATATAAACCTTTTTCCTACTTTAACACTCCACACAGGAAATTTCATATTTAGCCATTGAAGAGGTGTGAAAAATGTTTTATGTTTAACGGCAGCTTTTAGAAGTAAAAATGCCTGTTAAATTTAGAAGAAAAATCTTAATTGATTCTACTATATATTGTAATTTGTATTTATTTTATAACTTATTACACATCAGATTATTAGTAACAAATTAATGTATTGTTTTTTTTGTAAATTATGTTTTATTTGAGTAATTACTACTATATTTTTTAATTGTTTAATTTATTATTATGAAAAAAAAATTGCTTTTTTGCTTGGACTTTAAGGCTTGACCTGTTTCTGAAATGAGCACATGCATAAGAGCATGCAGTAGTGAGTTCTCTCTGTCTGGATGTGGCATTGTGGGAGTGTTTTGTTTCAAAATGAAATGTTTGGAATAGCTGTTAAACAGATTATTTCAGCAGTCGTCATTCACTTCGAGCCAGTGTACATAACGCATCTCTTTTTCTTTCATCACTCTTCTTCATCCTCCTCTCTCCTTCTTTGTCTCCGTCACTCATCCTGTCTTCCTGGCTCTTTCTGAAAGTCTGATAGACTGTTGAAATGGAAGGAAAATCCACCTCCTTAGGTCATAGTTCTTTTTTTTTGTAGAGAATCTCCTCTCATTATTTTCCGTAATCCTACATTTGTCCTATATTTAGGACTGTGCACTTCTCTGACTCACCTGGGCGTTGGGTTTATTGCTTAAATATGCCACCGCGGCGCTAAGCTTCTGGCATTTTTTCACTATTTTTGTGATCTTTAAGTCTTCATTTTTTATTTATTCCAATGGATTTGTTCAAGAAAGATGTGAAGTATAACTGTAGACCTGCATGTTACTCTGGGTTTTACTTTCTCAGCATTTCTCAGCTCCCCACAGACATGTATGGGCTTTTTAAGAGCACAAAGGAAGGACTGTAAAAGTGAAACATGTTAACACAAACATACCAGCATCAGCTCTACTGAATGAGCACCTGCTTTTAAACTCGCACGAGGGACAGACAGAAAAGGAAATGTAAAAACCTGAAACGTGGTGAACGTTTTCTCTTCTCAGTAGCTGCTCTTTCTGTAGTTTTTTTTTTTGTTTAACATGAAATCTGTGTGTCTACATTGTGCTATTTACAATTTATCTGTAATATACGATTATAGGATTTTGCTTATGATATTCAACATTCTAAATATCAATCCTTTCATATCACTCTATTATAGATCATTTCGGATCTATAATAAAGATTGTTTTTGAACGGCATTTTAAAATGTATTAATTTCTATGAATCATTTCAAATTTTTATTTATTTATTTATTTATGCAGTCCTTGCATTAATTTTTCATTCATTAAAATGTTTTAATACAAATGTAAAAAGGTAAATGCTGTTTAACACATTGAATCATTGTATTGCATAATACATATACATGTTTTTCTTGTTAATACTTGTTAATTTAGTGAAAAATCAGTGTTAAAACATGCATTGATTTATTGTTATAATGTTATTATTTATAATGTTACAATTTATTTTCTTATTTTAATTACACATTTTCAAAATATTTAGAATATTATTTTTCAGATCAAATTTTATATAATATTATTCAAAATGTTTTGAAAATGTGTAAGAGTGTGTATATTATATATATATATATATATAAATATATAGATAGTTATACACACACGCACATACACACATTTTCAAAACATTTTAAATGTAATATATATATATATATATATATATATAGAGAGAGATAGATAGATAGATAGATAGATAGATAGATATAGATATAGAACTTGCTCTGAAAAATAATTTTCTAAATATCTGTATTTCTAAAAATCTGTAAGTGCATGATCTTATTAAAATAAGAAAATAAATGGTAAAATAGCATTTCCTATTATTGTCAGAAGGCTGAAAGATTGAAAAGAAAAAAGTAAAAAAGTGTTTGTGTATGCCTGGAGAGTAAGAGATAGAGAGACAGTAATGTGGCCCACTCACAACGACTCTGGTTACGAGTCAAGAGAACACAATGCCGAGCTCAGTAACAGCGCAGGCCTACTCATTACACACACACACACACACGCAAATACAACGCAAGAGCCGTGGAAAGTTGAGCCATAACTCCAATCTATAGAAGTTGAAGTTCTGCATTAGTGCAGTTAGATTGAATTCTCATGGAGCTCATTAGATAAAACCTCTTTAGAAAGGGGAGAAAGGGATGATCAAGATTGCCGAGGGGCGAGAGAGAGGGAGATGGAGAAAAGGCGAGGGAATGGGGGCAGCCTCTTCTGCCATTTTTTGGCATGATGTACGGTGAGCTCTATGTAGAAGGTGCCAGAAGCTCATCGCTGCCAACCTCTCTCCCTCTGATCCTTTCTTCCTCTCCCTCTCCCTCTCTCTCTTTTCACCCATTCTCTGCTGCTCTCTCGGGGGGCTCAACCCCAGCGTCGGCCCGCCGTCTTGATATGTCCTTCTATTTTCAGCTCAACAGTTACGTCAATTAATTTTTTATACAATTTGATTTTTG